TACATATATATATATATAACTTTTTAAAATTTTAATGACTCAATATTGTGTACTTATCATTACTTTGAATATGTATACGATATATACTGTTTCTAGCATGCAATACTGATATAAATTTTTAAATATTCTTTTTATTTAAATATTCTATTAAAATTAATATTTTTTTTTCTTTTCTTAATACAAAGTAATATACATCTGAAAGACGTTTGTGAGTGCTATTTTTAGAAGAGGAATGAATATTTCTGAATTGATTTATGTACTATTGCATTAAATTAATTTAATAACAATGAAAAGAGCAATAGTTTTACAACATATTCAAGAAACTTTTAATTGTGATCAATAATTTTCTTCATAAATAAAGCAACTTGGAAATATTCATTATTTTAACTTTCTGTATGATGTCGTTTTTGTTAATGTTTTGTAAGTTTATATATAATTACGGTATGCAACAAGTTGCTTCCTATTCTTGCAAATAACATATATATTTACCACAATGAAATATATGGTATATCAATAACCAAACCAATAACCAGAGATTTCAGGAGATTTTGTTCGTTATTGTTTTTAACACTAACATAAAGAAATTAACGTTGATTGTTTCAATCAACTTTTTTAAATAATAATTTTTTTATTCGCTCGTTACAGAGAATATTCATTGAGAATTATTCATTCCGATTCCCAACTTCAACATTCAAAAATTATTAAGTTTTAGGGATATATAGATTTATATTGTTATTTTTATTTTACTACCCAAGTTCATTCTATGTTAACTTAATTATATTAACTTTCATTTATTTTCATTAAAAATCAGTTTACTAACTTGTTTGAAATATTGTTGTTTAAAATTAGTCTCACTTATAATTATCAATTAAATTTATTATTCGGAATTATTTGATGAATAATTAATATATAGTATTTAATTAATATATATGATGAATAATTAATATATAGTCTTTTCTCTTTGGATAAATCATCAAATCCACGAGCATTGCTTGCGACATTTATATGTCTCTTACAGTAGAAAGCAGGTCCTAGCAATGTGACGCAGTTACATGAATCCTTAGATATTCGAAAAATATTAACACTTATCATATGTTATAATTTTTGATATAAGGAAAGATTTAATCCGAAATTAAGAAAATTTAGAGATACATAGAGAATATATAGTATGCAATTTCTTTTTTCTACTATATTACTATATACTATATATTATATACTATATTATCTACTATATTACTATATTACTTATATTATATTATAAGAGAAAAGACTATATATTAATTATACTTATATTATAAGAGAAAAGACTATATATTAATTATACTATATACTA